ACAGGGAGCCCGATGTGGGGCTCGATCCCAGGACCCTGGGATCATGACCTGAGCCGAAGGCAGACGCTTAACGACTGAGCCACCCAGGCGCCCCTCCATTCCCCTTAAAAAAAAAAAAAATTATTTTATTTTTGTCCTTTTATTTATTATTTGATAGGACTTAGCATTCAAAGTATTTTTATTTTTATTTTTTAATTTCACGCTTTTATTTAAATTCTAGTTAGTTAATACATACGGTAAAATTGCTTTGTTTTTTGTTTTTCAAGTAGTGGTCAGTATTAAAAATTGGGATAGTTGTGATTTAAGAAAACACTTCTAGCTTCTCTTGCAAAACCAAAGCGATCTGGCAGACCATTGGAAAAGAGATGGCCAGATGGCACAGGATTTGAGGAAGTGAGAAGGGGACAGTGGGGGAGGGGCTTGGCCGGCGAATGCTGAGGCAGCAGCCTCACCCGGGAGCCAGAGCCAGAGTGTGAGAGGGACAGAAGAGACAGATCCGGGGCAGGAGCTTCCTGGAGGAGGGAATGGTGGAGCAGAACGTGCAAGCTGGGCCTGGGAATGGAGTGGGACATTTATAACTGCACCCAAACCTGAATGAGAAGTTGCCAAAGAAAAGGATAAAGATGAATTGCGACTGAACAAGGAAGAAGGGAAGGTGAATCGTTTGATAAAACCTTGCTAAGCACCAGGCTCTGTGCTGGGTGGAACTAGGGACCCAGCAGTGATTGAAACAAGCTCAGAACCTGCCCAGTGGGAGGATACAGACCTGTCCCCACGCAGAAATGCCGTAGAGTGGTGGGCTAGGGTGGGAGAGCTGAAACCAAATAGAGAAAGGGCTGGGAGAGGAGGGCAGCGCTGAGGATGGAAGGGGGGTGGGGGGTAGGAGGCTTCTGACAACCAGCTCCAGCCTCGCCTTTCGTTCTCCCTTCCCCAGGATGCCCTGGAAGCCCAGCTAGGGCCCGACTTTGGCCCCATGCGTCTCACCCGCTGCCAGGTTGCCCTGGCAGCTGCCATCACGCTCAACCTCCTGGTCCTTCTCTATGTCTCATGGCTGCAGCACCAGCCCAGGAACTCCCGGGCCCGGGGTCCCCGCCGTGGAGCTGCTGCCGGCCCCCGCGTCACCGTCCTGGTGCGGGAGTTCGAGGCCTTTGACAACGCGGTGCCTGAGCTGGTGGACTCCTTCTTGCAACAGGACGCAGCCCAGCCCGTGGTGGTGGCCGCCGACACGCTCCCCTACCCGCCCCTGGCCCTGCCCCGCGTTCCCAACGTTCGCCTGGCGCTGCTCCAGCCCGCCCTGGACCGGCCCGCCGCGGCCTCGCGCCCCGAGACCTATGTGGCCACCGAGTTCGTGGCCCTGGTGCCCGACGGGGCGAGGGCCGAGGCACCGGGCCAGCTGGAGCGCATGGTGGAGGTGCTCCGGGCGGGAGGGGCACGCCTGGTGGCCGCCCCCGTCGCCTCGGCCAACCCTGCCCGGTGCCTGGCCCTGAACGTCAGCCTGCGGGAGTGGACGGCCCGCTACGGCCCCGCGCCCTCCGCGCCCCGCTGCGACGCCCT